TGGGGGGGATCCTAAAATCTGTTTCATTTAGTTTGAATGCTTTTAGTTTTCTTTGAGTTCATCACCTCCCCCTTCATTTCATGATTATATTTTTTATAAGGGAAAAAATGAAAAGAAATTTGAACTATTTGTACATAATATAATTGTCATGTTTTTGTTAGTTTCCTGTGAATATGTGGTATATGTAGGATTTAAATGTGTTCTTGTGGTGAATAAACAAATTGTAATGGATGAATGCATTGTGAATCTGATTAGCTAGGTCTAGGATAGAAAGTGTTGACCAATGTTATCCCACTTCCTCTTTGACCTTGTGCCAAAATTGTTGCATAAATAGCAATAATCATTCAGGATTGAAAAATCCCTTTCTAAGTATAGTAGCTTGTTTTCATCATATACATGTGCAAAAGCCAACTATATATAAACATTTGGAAGCCTTAGAAAACGGAATTCATTAGTCTGGATTTCCGAACTTAAACATTGATATTTATGAAATTCAATACTGTATGTATAGCTGGCTACTCTTATTTGAGAACATCTATATATAGAGTAGCTAGCCAATCCCTATTGCAGATGCTAGCTCGGGCACACTTGTATTTATTCAACACCCACAAAGCCCACCTGTGGTTTATACTACAACTATGCTGAGCAGACCTTAGTTCCAGTTTCTGGGAAAGAGCATGTTATCTAGCATGATCAACAATTTGTACAAGGCCAGCACATGCAATCTCTGACACAATGACTTGTTACTTTGTGCTAGCACAGCTATTAATGGTATCCAAGGTTTCCATCTACCCATTTTCACGTTTGGGTCAACCTGTGGTATGGAGGGGTTGATCCCAGCATATGGTACTTTCCAAAAAGTGCCATACACTGGGATTGACCCCCCCCCTCCAATCGGATAACATCAGGATGTCTCCTTCCTGACAAATCGACTATGATGAGATTAGAACTCGGGTCTCATTGCCAGAATGTAAACATTCTAACCACTTGGCTATGTGCCTATTCAATAAGCACAGGACTAAATGAATAGGTGGGGATTATGGTTGGTTACATTCTTAATTGAGAATGACTACATTGTCTAAAGGCAATCCTCCAATAGAAATCTTATCTAGCCTTGAAACATCTCGTGAGTAATAGACTCATTGACAAGACATGCCAAAAAAGAATATTTGTATAATATTACGGAAATAAGAGCAGATTACACAAAAGCCTAATGATGAAAAGAGAGTAGTCGGCAACTGGTGACTGCTAGAACCTTACTAATGGAAACACTTTGTAAATTCTAAATGCACTTTTATGTATTAGGTGGATAAGAATATATTTCAACAGAAATTTCTCATTAAATACTTGTCTTTGGCGAGATGCTGCTACAATCTTCATTTTCTAGTTTTGATGGTTCAGAAACCTCTTTGTGGATGATGAAATGTTGCCTTATTCATTATTTTGATGACAGAAGTTCTGACGAGCTGTATTCCTTATTTCCGCCAATTCTAACCTTAGGTAAGACCTGCCATGCCAAGGACACTGGTACAAATCCTCGATTCCCTTCATATTCCATTAGTAAGGAAGATCTATTTGGACAGTTTCTTCCAAACAACCGCTACTTTGTGAAACTCCCAAGAGGATGCTTCCCTGATCACAACAACCTTGCCCTCTTCAAGCCTAGGGTTAACTGTTATCTTTCATACATATCCTTATAATTTTTTTTTTTTTTTTTTTTTTTTTTTTTTTTTTAACCTCTTGGGCCTATACAACAAACCTCTGTGGTTGATGAATTTATTGTTCAATAAATAAACCAAGTGTCTACTCAAATGAGTAGGCATTTGTGTGTGTTTGTTGATCTGCAAGGCTACTCTGGCATGTTAGGTCTAACAACTTCCTTCTGTCCAGAGGGATGCAGGTTCAAATCCTGTTGGGGAGCACATATTTTTCTTTTAATGAGATTTCCTGAATATTCAGGCTGGTAGATGAAAAATATACTGTTTTTAATAAACGAATGGAGAATTTACTTGAATATGAGTATCCATTAAAAATAACATTTTAAAGTGATGATAAACTGTCAGATTGATAAAAATACTTAATTTTAGAAAATGCATATCCGCACAAAAGATCATCTATAACCAAAATCTGTTTCCTGTCTGAATGCAAGTTTCAGATTGCATTAAGGCTTGAAACCTATCCACTTGGTGTGGACCTCAGTGTCTGCCTTTATATTTACATGCACTCAATTGGATATTGAGCACTTTTGCTCCTAAACATAGCTATACCATAAAACTGTTATTTCTTTTTTTATTGAAAGAAACTATGCACAAAAAAACATCTTTCCCCAATAGTAAAAGAAACTATGCTTTCCAAATATCTGAAACTGAAAACAAAAACAAAAAAAAAATCATGGAAAATAAGGAAAAAGATTTCCTACAACAATCAATCAAAAATGCAAACAGCAAAAATAACAATGAAAATAAATTACTAAAACAACCTGAGCTTTTTGAAAAATTATTACTACATTTTTAAAATCGAAAACTGAAATGAATAAATATTTTTATATATTGGAAAGCAATATACAGGCTGAAATGAGTAAATTGTCACCATTTTTTTATCTTTAATTTCACACATGAATAGATTCTTGTATTTTGGCAAAATTTAAAATATTTTGCCTGTTAAAATAAGTGTTTTCTATTTGTAATTTGTTCAGTTTATCCATTGTGCTCTGTATATAAATCTTTATATATAAAGAACAATTTTTTTTTTTTTTTTTTTTTTTAAAAAAAAAAAAGTGTTGAAATTACTTTAGTCTGAAATACTAAATGATGAAGCACCTAAAACTGATAGATGGGGAATAAAAAAAAAAGTGTATGTATGACCATTGAAGTGAATACTCAGACAACACTATTTCATGGTAAACACAATCATCAGGCCATCAATTATGAGAGATAACTATATATATTTTATATATTGGGAACTATATTAGGGGAAAAATGTATGACAGTGGAAGGAGTTCTTGTGATGCATTTCATCTTTTATGGCTTCATTGGATTAAATATGTTGCTGCCACTACACATGTGCATGAATGAGGGATGCTGGGAATTTTAAATTAAAAATTTTTCTTTCCATCCCTTTTGTTAGTAGATATTCCGTACTGATAATAGTTCTGCCAAGAATGGTGAAATTTACTGTGGATGACTTTGCAATCAAGGCACACTCTAGACATTTCTGTTGTAGTGAATTTTCTCCTATGATCAGAGTAGCATTTTTTTTTTTTTTTTTCCTCCAAAATTGAGGTTGTTTTGTTAAGGTGAGCAACTGACATGTTTGTATTTAGTAAAATGTCTTCTGTGATCATGTAATCTTTTATTTATGTTCTTTGAGGTTTCCCCTGTTCTCTTTTTTTAAGTCCTAAAGAGCAAAACTTGCCACAAGAAAACTTTTGCACTTTGTCATTTTCTTTTTGAAAAGAGATCACACACACACACACACACACACACACACACACACACACTTTTCATTGAATAATCAAACATGACTGCCACTTTCATAACCTCTTTGTTAACATCTTCATTTAATAAGTGTTATATAAAATGTCTATTACTGAAAGTTCATTCCTCTGCCAGTGTGTGAAATATTATCTATATTTTCATAAAGTAGGGAATTTTGTGGTGTTGACAATATTTATCAAATAATGCTTAATACCAGGTGCCTTATACCTTGGGTCTTAAATAAGCCAAGTTTAGTAAATCGGCTTATATGCCCACATCTCTTCTAATGAAAGCCTTTACTTAGTTTTGATTCCTGGCAATGTCCTTTTAATAATTGTTTGTCTAGCTGCAAATATTCTTTGCATCTGTTGAAATATAGCTGGCTGTATTACTATCCGCCCAACACATGAAAGTGCACTTAGAATCTACAAAACTTTCTGTTGGCAATGTACTAGCAGTCACCAGCTGCTGACTACTCACCTTTCATCATTAGACTTTTGTGTAATCTTCTGTAATATTCTATGAATATTCTTTTTTAGGCTTGTCTTGCAGATGACTTTGTATTACTCATAAGTCTCGAGGCTAGATAAGTTAAGCTTTCTTTTGGACTACATTGTCTAAAGGCAATAATCCTCAATTAAGAACGTAATCAATCGTAATTCCTACTGACTCATTTGGTCCTCTGCTTATTGAATAATATCAATGTAGAAATAAGAGCAGATTACACAAAAGCCTAATGAAGAAAATTCAGACTTCTGGATTTTTGAAGTGACTTTTGTGTATTAAAGGCTCCAGATTTTCTAGCTACTATACAGTCACCCTTAAAAACCCTATGCTGGGGCTTTTACTATATATTTCATGATTCTTGACAAATTCAAAGAAGGTTTTGTAATGTAACTGATTTTGGCCTGGATCCTTGATTTCACTTTCTCACAGATGTGGCTTCTCTCTGTCGTTTCTAGAAATATTTTCATGGCAATAGTTCTGATGCACTTTCTGCCTAAGCACTGCAGCTGCATGAATTTAAGCATACCAATAGATTAACAAGGTTCACTGTTGAACTAGTTAGATGCATCTGTAAGTTTTTCAGTTTTTCTCTCACTTCTTGCCTGTTGAACACTTTCCTATCTTTTGCTTCCCTGATAACTAAAGTCTTAAATTTCAATGCAACATCACCATCTTGTCTTCCTGAATCCTTGTTCTTTTACTCACTTAAAGTTCTTATTCTTTCACACCTACATAACTCCCTGGGTCTTAGTGGCATTGTCTTGCTCAGTTCAGTTATATATATATATATATATATATATATATATATGTGTGTGTATAATTTTTTCTTCAACTATTGTAAAGAATATTTAGAAATTAAAATTAACATGTATCCTTGCTAATCAATTTCTTTCAAAAGGTAACTTAAAATGCTCTACAGAATGCCATTATATTACAAACTTTGTCTTTTAGAGTCTGACATTTGTCATTCTTGTAATTTACCTGTTCTAATTACTAACTTTTTTTTTTCTTTTTCAGGTCTTGCATAAAACAATCTCCCAATCAAGATGTCTGGTAAGTTATCCTGATTGTTTCCAATTCCATTTAAATGGTATATTTTGAAAGTTTTGTACTACAGACAACCTGCAATAAATACAGAAGTTGCACTGATAATGCCATAATTTGGTTAGTCCGCTTAAATGGATGTACATGTAGCAATGCAGTTACTCTAGTCTTAATAGTAAGTCTGATAGGTGTGATGAAGTAAAACTGGCAGAAGCTCTTGAAAATGACCTCCAATCAGTTGTTTACTTGGACAAGAAATGGCTTGTAAATTTTAATGCCTCCCAAATGAAACTATAATTTTACATAATCATAAACATTTGTTAGAGTAACTCATTGTGTCTTTTGGTTTCATATTTTTCAACAAGTGGAGTGATTATATTGAATTGCTGACAGTATTTAAACACTTTTTTTCTTGATATAAGGCTCAAGGGCTACTGAAGGTTATTAAATGAGGTTGTTGTAAGCTCACACAAGGAAATAATGTAGTCTAGATAAAAGTCAATCCTAGACTTGAAGAGATTGTAGCAATTGGGCAAGTGTCTTTTCCTTTCTGTCCTTGCAGAATTTCTGTAGTCCTTTGAATAAAAATATACTTTTTTTTTCTTTCTCTTACATTGTAAATATTTACTGCAATGTCATTGTACTGCTTGCTGATACATGTCCATCTTGCAAGTGTACATACCTCAAACATTCAGATAAATACTTTACAGCAGTCAAAATTTTGAAGACGGTCAAAAGGGGAAAAAAAAAATCTTCTGACGAGTATCGTCAGAACAAGGTAAATCAAAGGGGACCTAGAAGGCTAAACATAAGTCAAGTTTAGTTTACAATAAATCTATAGAAAGGAAGTTATATTTTAAGGCAATATGAGAAGAGTATCACATGGTGAAAGCCATTTTAACTTAAGAAATACAATGGTAAAATGTATATCCTAAACAAATGACCAACTTATACGATAATGGAGAAATCATAGAAAGATGGACAGAAGGCTGCATCTTTGCTTTCCCACTAGAGATTTAGTTGGCAAAAAAAAAATTATAGAGGAATCACTCTTTCATGGATGCAGAAATTTACAGCTCTATGCTTCTCAACAGAATACAGCTGGCAGTAAAGGTCCCCCCCCCAAAAAAAAGCATTTGAAAAAAAATATATATCATTGAACAAATCCTGACTGTTCAATGGATTGAAAGGGTAAAGAATATACAGGTCACCTTACCTTTTTTGTATTTCTTTAAAGCCTTCAGTTTTGTACATAGAGAAAAAAAAATGAAGAGCCTTCTGGCATATGGCATCCCCCCCGAGTCTGTAACAGCCATAATGATGCTGTAGCAGAATATAAAAACTTTGGTTAGATTCTCAGATTCTTTGACATCAAAGCAGGAATCCTTCAGGGTGATGCTTTTGCACCTTTTCTCTTTATCACCTTTGACTATGCATTCAGAACTCTTAAATTTTATCTTGCCACCAAGAATCGAGTTGATGTCCTGCAAAAAAAAGGATGACAGATATTGACTATACAGATGACCCCACTATCGCTGCAGACACCATTACCAATGTCACAGTTCTCCTAAATCATCTAGAAAATGTTACCAACAATGTTGAACTCTGTCAATGCCCCTAAAACTGAATTCATAGAGCTTCAACCAGCAAGGCACAATACAAACTCGGGTAAATCAATAAAATCTGTTGAATCATTTACCTCTCCAGGAAGCAATATAAATTCTACTAAAAAGATGTGAAGCTTCGCATAGCTAAAGCCTGGCCCACCTTGAATAAAATGGATGTAATCTGAAAAATGGAGTTTCTTTCTTACCATTGTAGAGATGGTTTTAATGTTTGATGCCACTGCTTGAACAATGACTAAAACCCTAGTCTAAGCTTGATGGAACCTACATTTGGATGCTGAGAGCTATACATAAGACCTCTTGAAGACAACATCCAACTAAATCACTGCTCTATATGTCCATCCTTGATATTTCTACAGTCTTGGATTAATGCAGAATGTGCTTTGCAGGAGACTGCGGGCAACTAAAGCAAGAAGTTGCAAGTGGGCTACTGCTCAGGACACCTAATCATGAAGAAAGAATGGTTGTGTAACAACTAGATACATTGACCAGCTATGTTCTGACACACAATGCCACTTTAATGACCTTCTGACATTGCATGATCATGATGGTTGGTGTGATACTCATGAATTTCCGAGCTAGCATGACCAAATAAATATAAAAAGAAAAATCTATCTCCTATCTCTACAAAAAAACCATTCCAAAATCATGTTCACTTGCTGTTTGATTTTGTTGGTAATTTTTAGCATTTTGTCTTTGTATGAATGGATAACAGAACAATGTTGGTGCTTAAGTAGGTTACTGCTTGTCTTGCCTTCAGTATGCACTGTGTTAAATTCTCCAAGCAATCTTTCCTTATGTCCCATAAATTTCCTGTCTTTTTCTGATTGTAAGTATAAATTTTAAAGGATAAATGTCTTGAAATACAAACTATTCAGATGTTATCCCTTGAGCAGTAATTTTAATGGATATATGCTTAGTGGCTCTGGAAAAGTTTGAGCCAAATTCAAATTTTGCTTGAAATTTGCTCACTTTGCATATATCCTTGAAAGATCTGAATCCATCTCTTCTCACCCAGCTATAGGTTGAATAGCAGGCTAAACTGGCTTTACTACCAGTCTAGGAAGGCCAACTTGGCCACCTGAAGCTGTACAAAGATGGACATTGGGTGCAGGTACTATTCCTGTAAAACAAAAAACCTGATGGAATATAATAACTATAGATAATCCCCACTGGAGAGGGACTATCCAGAATACTGTTGGTAGCTGAATAAATAAAATTTTCTTGCACCCTCTCTTGCCAGCAATCTCTTACCATCCTCTTTTTGGTATTCTTCATCTGTAGAATTCTAAAATGAATGGCTAACAATGTATCAAGTAAAAATTCAGTTTTCTATTACTAAATCTCATGTAAGTAAAAACTTCAAAGTGATTTTGCTTAGTGCTTGAGAAAACGAGGAATGTGGCTATCCAGTTTACTTTTTTTTTTTTTCTGTTCTTTATTATTGGTTTTCTTAGCTTAAGTGGTGTAACAGCTGTTGAATGATATATTGTAAGCAATTGAAAATACCATATTTTCTTGTGCATAATACAAAAAAAATTTAATTATAATTAAAGGCATATATATATATATATATATATATATATATATATATATTAGAGAGAGAGAGATATTAGTGGTAAATGTACACATGCAATCATATATCTAAAATATATAAATATATATACATATGTTTGTATAAAAAAAATAATTCCAAGAGGATAGAATCCAGGTAGAACTCAATGTCCAGGACAGTAAGGATATAATAAAGGCTTAAATACTAATATTCCATGGAATATTAGTGTTTAAGCCTTTTTATTATATATAGCGATTTTCCAAGCATAGCTTGGATGTGGCACAAGGCCGAAAGTATGGGGCACCCAGTGAGGATCGAACTCACTACTCAGTCGTAATTGTTCTAGTGAGACAAGCTTGCTAACCATTACACCACCTCGGGGTGCCCCTTTTTATATATATATATATATATATATATATATATACACGCACACACGGATAAATATAGATAGGTATACATGTCATGTAAGCAATTGTATGCAAATGCATAGATACTCTCTAGTGTAAGAAAAGAATTAGTGTTTTATATATAATTTCAAGAGTGACAGTCTAAGGTAAAAAGGATGAGAACTCTGAACTTAATTTCTCTTCAATGTGTACCATTTTATTAATAAAGTGATGGCCTAAGTTGCTTGGAAAAAAACAACTGAAATTACCATATTTTCTTGTGCATAATACAAAAAATCTTGAAATATTTAAAGGCAAAAATAGGTTATATTAGAAACATTTCTGAAAACTGTACTTATTTATATGTGCAGTATCCCTTCAGAACTTGGGCAATCATGGCCCTCCATATCTCCCTGTCGCTTGTAACTCTTAAGTTTTGTCTTTTTGACTCCTGAACACTCTTCTACCATCCATTAATTCAAGATAAAGTATGTTACACATACATACTTTTGTCTGATCCTCTTTCCCTCAACCTGTCCTGTGAGTATCAGATTTTCCAAACCCTCATTCCTCATTATGTTCCCAGAAACCTCAACTGCTACTTCCTGATAAGTATAAGTTTCCTTTTGTTTCCATTCTCTCCAAAACCTTGTTGCTCACATATTCAGTCCATGGTATCCTCAGCATCTTCCTGCAGAGCCACATTTCTCTTCATCTTTGAGTGATATTCACTGCTATATATTTCATTGTTTCTAACAGTTTTTCTCTTGATACTTTGCTTAGCTTTTGGAATGAGTCTTTGGCCATCCCAGTGCATCTTCAGATATGTCCTGTTAGAACACTTAGTTGAAACTGCAAGATTGCAAATACTCTGTTAAGATGATAGATAATTGCTATCAACACCTGCCTACTTTGTTTTCTTTTACAGAAGGTATTTGATATATCTGGCAATCTTTGTGCATCAGCATAATTTTTTTGTTTCTAAGATGGAAAATTCACTGAAATTTAAAACACAAAAAAAATAAATAAAAAGAATACACAAGGTCTGATATGTTTTGTAGTCTCTTCTGCGTGAAAAATGGGGCAATAATTCCTATGCTATAAGATCGTTGTTTCATATTCCTCTATTTGTTGACATGTTTAAAATTAGAACACTTTACTCTCTGTGTGTGTGTGTGTGTGTCCTTCCTTTCTTTATACATGTTTCATTATGTTACACCTGTCTGATCACAGCTCCATTAGAACATACTAGTAGAAAACACAAATATATTAACTGCATCCACCTGCAAAAAAAAAACTAAAAATAATGGAAGCTTTAATAATAAAAAAAGAAAAAGCCAACTCTTAATATTAACTACGAACAAAGCCACAATGTGCTAACTGTATTCAGAAATTAAAAACATCCCTACCACACACTGACATACACGTAACGCACACACTCAA